GCCATTTTGGCGGGAGCCACGATCGCGGCTGCAGGCCTCTCAAAGGAGAGCCTGATATCCGGCAATCTTGGGGTCACCAGCGGCTGATTTTGTTTCTATTTTTGCGCCCCATGGTAGTCTCTGTTGGAGGGTGAGTAGGGATGTCGCCTGTAGGGCTCCTATAGTTCAGGTATAAAGCTATATTAAGCTCTCTGTCTCGGAGCTCGAGAGGTGTGCCTGGATAAACAAGTTTTGTTTTTTTAACCTCTGCTCCTTCCTATCTGCAAAGGTCAGAGGGAAAAACACACATCACTCTGCCGGGAATTTATGGTCCACCAATTTGAGTCCAAGAAATTTCCTGTCAACTTATATCATGCTCAGTAAGATTGTAGCTGAGACTGAAGGGAGTTAACACATATACACAATGCTGCAATGGAATAGTTAGACAACCACTTATCAAACAGCTTTTGTAGAATATAGCACCAATCAACCAGTGGGCTGGCTTAGCCTGGTAATAATCTTAGTCAACAATAGCTTTATATACGAAATCACTATTTTAATGCACACATAAAAAATAATACTCAGTGTCAATTGAAGTTATTTAGACCTAACATATGATTTGTTATGCTAATCTCTAAATCTCATTAGAACCACCAATCAGAAGGTATAGTCTGAAGCATTTGATGGAACTTGCCCGACATTAACAAAAACAGAAGTCCTGGGCAAAAATGGGGTGGATCTTCATTTGATACAGAGGCCAGTTCCTAAAGGTTTTGTAAGGGTTTTGGAAATCTTTGCACAAAATTAACATTTTTTTTTTCCAGTGGTTAATTGTATGCATTGAAAAAACGATATACATTTTTGGACATAATGTAATGATGTTTTCAAGAAATATGAAGATTGTCTATTAATCAGAATTACAGATCATTATATGGTATGATGGAATACAGATTATGTAAATACATGAACAATATAAGCTCTTTTGTTATAAACTTAATGTTGCTGGTGGATGATCATTACATAGTTACTGTCAGGATTACAGAATGATCCAGCAGGTAGAACTGTGTAACACAGAGGACTGATAGGTAATGTATACCGGATCTTAGAATGGCCGGACTAACGTACCAAAGAATAGTCAGGAATAGCCGAGGTCAAGGGATACAGAAAGAGACACAACGATAAGGAAAAGGCAGGAGTCAGGGATGCCAGAAAACAGGGAGTCAAAAACAATGCCAAAGTCAAATAACCAGAAATACCAGAATCAATAACACGCTCTCGGACAACCACAAGGGAAACCACGACAGGGCACTGAGCAGAATGAGAACTGGGCCTAAATACCCCTCCTCTAGATCTGATAGGCTGTAACCGGCCTTTGACCCCAAAGGCAGTTACCAGGTTACCATTTGCATAATTGCTGCTCAGCATTAACCCTTCTGTGGATTTGGTTGCTGCTCGGTACACCTTTCCTGTGTGGACAGTAAATGCCATTAACCACATTTTTATAAGCAGATGAATACGTGACAGTTACATACATCCCTCAGGTTCAGCCTTCCTGACATTTGTTGTTTGCTGTTGATCCAAAAGAAGGCAAAAAAAAAACCCAGTTTGAAGCACTTCCAATTTTGCAACAAGCTAGGAAAAAAATTCCTTCTTGACCCCAGAATGGCAGTCAGATTTATCCTTGGATCAAGCAGTTATAACCCTACATTATTATATCCTTGAATATTCTGTTTTTGCAAGTGTGCATCTAGTAGCTGTTTGAACATCTGTATGGACTCTGATAAAACCACTTCTTCAGGCAGAGAATTCCACATCCTTATTGTTCTTACAGTAAAAAAAAACTTTTCCTTTGCCCAAAATTACACAGCATATTCAATAGTGGTCTTACCAGTGATTTATAAAGAGGCATAATTATTTTCTCGTCTCGAGAATGAATGCCCTTTTTCATGCATTAAAATAACTTACTGGCCTTGGCCACTGCTGATTGACATTGTACATTGTTGCATAGTTTGTTGTCTATAACAATTCCCAAATGCTTTTCATTTGTTGTAATCCCTAATTCGCTTCAATTAAGTGTTTACGTTGCTTGTGTATTCTTTACGCCAAAGTGCATAACTTTGCATTTTTCAACATTAAATTTCATCTGCCATTTAAGTGCCTAGTCCCCCAGTTTATCTAAATCCCTCTGCAGCAAAGTAATATCTTGCCCACATTGTATTATTTTACAGAGTTGTGTCATCTGCAAACACTGAAACATGACTTTCAATGCTTTCTTCAAGATCATTTATAAACATGTTAAATAGAAGAGGTCCCAGAACAGACCACTGAGGGACACTACTTGCCACCTCTGTCCAGCTTGAAAATTTACCATTAACGACAACTCTTTGTACTCTATTTTTAAGCCAATGTTCTACCCAAGAACAAGCATTTTCATCTAGACCGATTTCCTTGAATTTGAACACTAATCTATTGTGTGGAACTGTATCAAATGCCTTGGCAAAATCCAAATAGATCACATCAACAGCAACACCCTGATCTATACTTCTACTTACTTCTTCGTAGAACGCAATCAAGTTAGTTTGACATGACTTGTGCTTCATAAAACCGTGCTGATTTTTGCTGATAACCATGTTCTTCTCAAGGAATTCTTGAATATTATCCCTTAACCTTTCAAATATTTTCCCAGCCACAGAAGTTAAGCTCACAGGTCTATAATTTCCAGGCAAGGATTTTGAACCCTTTTTGAATATAGGAACCACATCTGCCTTCCTCCAATTCTCCGGAACACTTCCTGAAAGAAAAGAATCTTGAAAGATTAAAAACAGAGGTTCACTTATTTCTACACTTAGTTCCTTAAGGACTTGTGGATGGATACCATCAGGCCCTGGAGCTTTGTTTATATTAACTTTATTTAGTTGCTGCAGCACCTTGTCTTGAGTTAACCAATTACAATTATTCTGCACGTTTTTAGTAGCAATCATTTGCACATCTATTGCCATGGGTTCTTCCTTAATATATACGGAGGAGAAATAGTTATTTAAAATTCCTGCCTTTTCCTGGTCTTCATTAATGAACACCCCTGTTTCAGTTTTTAGTGTACCTACACTTTCATTTTTTTGTTTTTTTTAGAATTTATGTACTGTAATTTATGTACAAAATGCTTTGGGGTTGGTTTTGCTCTCTTTAGCTATCATTTTTTCATTTTGAAGTTTAGCAAATCTAATCGCCTTTTTGCACGCATTATTGGCTTCCTTATATCTTTTATAAGATGCATCTGATTTGTCCGATTTAAATGATTTAAATGCCCTTTTCTTATTTTTCATCTCGTTTTACTTCTCTTCTAAGCCACATTGGTTTTAATTGGTTTCTTTTATATTTATTACCCAATGGTACATACTGAGAAATGTACCTCTCTAATATTTGTTGGAAGATGTTCCATTTATCCTCAGTGTTCTTTTCACTGAAGAGTTTATGCCAGTCAATATATTGTAAAGCTGCCCTTAACTTATAGAAATTGGCCTTTTAAAAATTATATGTTTTAGTATACCCCATGTTTCTTGATGTGCTTTTATTGTTTGCTCCCATCTAAATATTGTGTTTTGTAACAAAGATTTAAAAGATCTACCTCAAATATATATATTATTATTTTTACTAGCATTTAGCTGAGTGGCGTAAGGGAGCAGCTCTTGGTGAAAGTCAGGTAACTGGTAAAATAAACCTTTTGACTACTTTTACATTGCAGGGCGCTAGGGCATTCCTGAAACCATAACCACTACAGTGCACTGTAGTGGTTGTGGTGCTTGCCGTGTTCTTTTAATAACACACTGCTCAAGTATTTCCTTGGATCTTCCTGATTTTAATAGTCTTTGTGTTCCATTCTTGCCAGTGCCCTTGGAATGTTGGGAATGGTCCTCAGGCAATTCAGTTCTGGAATTTCCAGTGCTGTGGGTCGGGCTGGATGTGGTATGGTGTCAGAACAGAGCCTTTGCCACAGTAAGTAAATGTCTGATCAAAATTATTATTCGGTAAAAAGAGTTGCGTTATAATGCATTGATATTGCTTCCAAAATACAAATCTGTGGATTATACAAATTGGTGCTCATTTACCCTAATATTTTAGGTGAGGCAAATTATGCATACATATAACTTAAAAGATTACTCAAAATGTGCAGCTATAAGTCAGAGCCTTGCCGAGAATGATTGTGGTGTCAATCCACAGCAAGTAGAGTGCAAAAATTAAATCTGTGAAATTAATAAATGAAGTGCATTCTATAAAATGGTTGTCAGACCCACAGCTTTACCTGGACCCTTTTTCTATATAACATGTTGATGAGTAGTGCCTGGAAATTACTGCACTGCAGTACAGAACTACTGTACTACAGAAATTAAATAATTCATTAGGTATAGCAAATGAATATACAAAGTTAAATGTTCCATTCTGCAGAGTATGGTTGCTAGATGCAACATGTCTCCTTGAAGGTTAGTTATGTGTCCATGAACACATAGTGAATGCAACAACTCTAAATCCAGATGTTGGACTACAGTTATCATCAGCCTGATTCCCAGCTGTCCAGCATTTGGGGTGACAGTGTCAATTTCAGGGTCCTGTCCCAGGATACCTTCTTTGTTGTTCTAACCATAGCCATCACATTTTAAATGTAATTGAATTGCAGAAAATCAATCTGATATTAAAGTCCTACACATACAGCACATTTTCAGAGCTTCAGAGCGTACGTGCAGATTTGGTACCTGAATACATAACATAGAATTGCTGTCATATCAATTTGAAACATTATGTGCTTCACCGAGACAATAGCTAGTCAACTGCTTTCTGTGCTTCACTGGTCAATAGTTAGTCAACAGCATTTGATACTTTTCCTTTGAGCATTTTTATTACTTCCAGATTCCTTCTTCAGGATACACCCTAGTGTGCAGCAGGCACTGTCTGAGGGGAAGCCGGTTGTAGCTTTGGAGAGCACAATTATAACACATGGGATGCCTTATCCTCACAACATCAGGTGGGTATGCACAATTGTGTCTTAGATTATGTAGATAGGAAATACAAGTCAAAGAGCTAATGTGCTTTAGTAATGAAAATCAAACATCATCAATAAATGTACCTACGCTGCACATATTTCCAGAGGTCTGTGCTATGGCCACCAGGTAGGACTATAGGTGCTTTCTGTTATACATTTCACAGTGTCATGCAGTTCAAAAATGGCTTTTTGGGGACAGGTCTGCAAACTTCAACTCGGTAAACAGTGGCAGCCAAGTTAACGTTGAGTTTTCGATTAGACATTTTGGAAATGGATAACCTTAACAAACTCAGTGCAAACTAACATATCACGCACTCACTTCTAACCAAACTGGACTCCATAGAAAGCAAACTGGTACAGGTGATAATTTTGCTAAAATTTATCTTATTCTGAAACAATATATCTAAATGTGGGCAATACAATTAAATGGGAAATATCTTGGTGCCAGAGCAGAATTTGTGCACCTTTATTAGTCTATTATATAGGTTTTGTTGGGTTGTAGTAACTTTTACTAACATTATAAAAACAAAAATAGACCACCATAGTGCGAAAATAGATTGGCAGGAGTGGGTAAGATTTCAGTCAGTCTATTCCACATAGAGGCCATCAGTTAAAACAATTTTGCCTTCTTTCCCCTCACCCTCTCCAGTCGGTGCAAGAGTAGGCCAGCCTCAGATATAATCAAGAAGGTCAGTCCGTTACACAAGGCCTTCTCACTGCCTCTAGCTCTGGCCACAATGGGTGCTTGGCTCAACGCGCAGTATCCGGTTAGACTGAAATCAAGAATCTGTGACTGCTGAGATACTGTGTACTCCAGTGGGGGCCGGGATATAACCCACAAGCCCACGGGGGTTACGGGGCCTCGTAGAGCATCCTCAGCCAGGAGATTGGCCGCCCCCCAACTAACGGACTGCCAGACCCCTTAGGGCTCAAGACTGGATGGTAAAATCACCCGCTTGATCACAGTCTGCTGTGCACTTTGGTGCAAGTCTCGCTCTTTTTTCAGTGGTTTAGGCGCT